TTTGTGTCCTTTGGACATTAATTTTTTTATTGCTTCCTTGCTTTCCCAAACAATAAGAGGCTGTAAGTGGACCTGTCTAACAAAAGTTTGGTTTTTATTAAGTATTCCCTCAATGCTTTTCATCTTTATATGACCCAAGAAATCAGAAATAGAGAAGCAAATAAATAATTGTAACTTGTCATGTTAATCTTGGTTTGGTTTCTCCCCCCAAAATCCTGTGACAATGAGTTGGGTATATGCAGATTACTTTGGAGATGGACCCAAGAATCTGAAACAGGGGCATGGAGGAAATAGAGACCAGAAAGAAGGAAAAGCCAGTAAAAGTGTGTTAATGACTTGCTGTGATAAGCTACAGGGACTCAGATCTCTGGGGGTCCCTAGGAATCTTATAGAATAGAATAATCATTTCCTTAGAATAGTTACACTGAAGAACTGGGAAGCTGAGACGTTTATCAACTGTCCTGTCCTCGGTTAAGGGTAGCCCTGGGGCACTGACTCTTTTGGATGTAGATGATTGAACAATAATACTGGAGAAATCTCTCAAGATGAGAGGCAGATGTCAGGTGCTCATAGTTGTTACTGTGCTAAGGTTACAGACAATCCAGGGAGATAGGGTCAAGGCATCAAGAACATCTACCATACTGAGAAAGTAACATTGGGGACTCCTTGACCATTAATTTCCTATTCCTTCCCTTCCTTTATTTCCTGCTTGGACTTGGTCCACCTACTCCTCTGAATTGCCAGCTACTTGATCCAGATGTGTCCAGGAGGACAGTTTTTCCTGCATCATCTTCTCAGAAGCTGTCCACAATGTTCTTTGCCAAGCAAAAGGCTGTATTTATTTTAGGGTGCTCCCTGTGCTTCACATTAACATTTCAAAGTATTTATGCCCAGTGGATGTCCCGTAGATTCCTCACATCCATCGTGTCCCAAACTGAAGTCATCCCATTCCGATCTCTCCACTGGTAGTGTCAATGGTACTACCATCTACCTAAGTGCCCAGGCCAGAAGCCAAGCATTGCCCTTGATTCTTTCCTCTCACCACCACCAATTAGTGGTGTTTTATGTTCCAAATACTTTTCAACCCACCTGCATCTCTCCATTATCACTGTCTCTATTCTATTTCAGGACACAATTTCCTCTTGCCTTGGTTACCACGTCAGCTTCCAAACAATTCAAACAATTCTGTGATGTCCCTGAGACTAATCCCTTCTCCACTCTCAGAAAGTGATCATCCTAAAATGCCAGTATTGTGCTCAGAATCCTTGTTGATCTTGATTTGCCTCAGGTATGCAGTTAAATCTCTAAATGGCAGAAATGCTCTTTGATCTAGCTCTTGTTTTCATCTCCCTATCTCATAATTTATCACCATTGTTCATTCCAAGTCCCTACACACACACACACACACATGCACACACACACACACACACACACACACACACACAGCTTGAACCCACCGTATTCTGGCTATGGGGCCTCTCATGGGTCCTGCGTGCAATACACCATTACTTCCTTTTCTCTCTTTCTTTTTTCTCCCCCATTGTGTTGCTAATATCATTTTACCCTGAAATACTCCCCATGCATTTACCTGGCTGACTCTAATTCCACCTTAAGGTCTCGGAAGACATATCTTTGAAGCTCCTGATATATGTTCATCTAGTACCACATACTTCTTGTAACCCTCGTTTCCCATCTCTAAATTGAATATATGGTGGTGCCCACCTTGTTGGTAATTATGAGGAGTGAATGAGGTAAGATAAGCAAATTACCTAGTAAACACTAAAAAACATTAGCTATTATTATTACTACTATTAAAGTGTTTGTCATGACAAATTATAGTTGCATATAAAACTGTAGCTCCATCTAGACAGAAAATTCCATGAAAACAGCAATCTTCTCTCTTGTTCACAACTGTATCTCTAGCACTGTTCTCATCGCCCCATGGCAGGGACTCAATGAATTCTTGTACAGACAGAAGATGGTAGCCTAAAGAATTTGATCTAGCTATTGTTTTCATCTCCTTACCTCATAATCCTTACAATTCTTGAAACAGGAAGATATAGCATATAATAAGGAAATTTCCTACAGATTCAAGGAGTTGCTGGATAAGTGAATCTGCATATCAACAACTCATGTTTTGGGAGAGGTAGGGCATTTAGGGTGGCACATGTTCAGGTTTTCAGGGATAATCTGCAACAATGATTTAAGAAAGGGAACCCTAAGTGATCTCATTTAATTCTCACAGTGGTCCTGGAAGACAATCGTTTTACTGAAGGAGAATCTGAGCCACAGAAGAATTAAATGATTGGGCTGAGGTCTCCAAATTAGTGACAGGGCAAAGCTGTCCATCTTGCTTTTTAGCTCATTTCTTCCTGGGTTTTGTAAAATTCTGCTGCTGTGTCTGTTAATAAACGTTAGTGAAAGAATTTGAGGGCACACATAAATACAGTGACCACAGCATTAAATCCAAGTGAATGTTGTTTTGCTGCAGGCTGCCCAGAGCTTTTAGCACACTAATGTGAGCTGTGACTTTCTTGGGGGAGAGCATGTGAGCTTCCCTCCCTCAGGTGAACAGACCCCAGTGTTCCCAGAGCACTCCTGGCAAACAGTCACCACTTTGCAGGTAGCACTCCACCAGCACTGTCCCTTCCCTTAACTCCAACATTCAGCAGCATCTGATGCTTGAAGCTTCAAGTCAAATACAGAAGATCCAGTGATAATGACAACATAGTCCGTGCTTAATACCTATTGGATTCAAGACTTGGTGGTTAGATATTTGATGTGGTTAGCATTGTCTAGGCTCTGTGGTGACTCTGTAAAGCACCAAAAGGTGCCCAATCTTGTGACACTCCGTCTTCTGAGAGAAACAAAAACAATAACTAGCACAGTCTTACTCTAGAGTGGTTTCCATTTTTGTTGTTTCCCAAGCGCATTCATTGCTTGCACTTCACTGCTTGCTGGGATAGATGAATTAGGTGTCACTAGTTGAGTGACCTGCTCAGTTACATGGCTCCTTATTCACTCCAAATGTTATTTATTTGTTTATTTTAGGTTTTTTCTCAATTTGGAAAGCTGTTCTCCACCCCTAGTACCTACCTCATTATTTTGTACAATTCCCTACTTTCTAACATGGTAGATTTTGTCTATTCATACACCTATCTGAAATAATACAAATATATAATGTAATTCTTTTTAAAGTGGTGAAACTGAAGTAGACCCTAGAAAAAAATTTAAAGCCCCCCATTTTATGGTTGAAAAACTGAGGTTCAAGGAGGATCAATGACATGTTAAAATCACCCAACAAATTTGTAACAAAGCAAGACTGAATTGCCAAGTACTATTCAAATCACCTCTAATTTGGGGGGGGGGATGGGGTACTGGGAATTGATCCCAGGGGTGCTTTACCACTAAACTAAAACCCATCCCTTTTTATTTTTTATTTTGAGACAGGGTCTCACTAGGTTGCTTAGGGCCTCACTAAATTGCCACAACTGTTCTTGAACTTGTGATCCTCCTGCATCAGCCTCCTGAGTCACTGGGATTACAGGCGTGTGCCACCACACCTGGCTCATCTCTAACTTTTAATCCTATCCCTGCTTTTGATAAGTACATTTGTCTTATTTGTCTCCTCTGAGAGCCCCCTGATGAACTGGAGTTCCAGTAGCAGAGGGGCTAGCAGCCCTGCCCTGGTGGGAAGTGCAAGGGAGCTAGATGTGGGTGCTTAAAATGTGCCTTTCCTGGGATACTACTTTACTTGGCTGACAGCTTGGCACCCAGCTGTCTAACCTGTGACCAGTGATCCTTCATACAGGACACTTGGCAGATGGCCCTTATCAAATGTATGTCTGCCTGACCATCACTCTGGCACTGGGAGTCTGATGCTGTCTTTTTCCTAGTGTGCCAGGGAAAACCTGGTCTATAGCAGCCCCTCCCTGGTTCTTTGGATGGAAAGCCCAAATTCCATACACCGTCACATTAGGGAATAAGTACAAATATATATTGCTGATGGATGCTGAGCAAGGACGAGGACACGGTGAGTCAGGAGAGCAATCCTCTGTCCCCAGGTGATAGGAGGAAGGACTGAAGTGTTGGAGGAGGGGTTAGGTAAGGGTTGGTAGCAATCTATATAAAGGAATAGCACATAGGCCACTTTAAGTTCCTGGACAAATGCCTGAATGATCCCTTTAAAGAAGGCTGTGGGAAAGCAGGGAGCCCAGCCCTCTAGTCTCTGGCCACCTTGTTGGGCCATTTTGGTGTGCTGTTCTATTTTCGAGGCAGCAAGCTTTCCTATGCTGTTCTCATTTCCATGCTTAGACGTGGAGTCTGAAACCATTCTGCAAGTAATTTTGTCCCTACCATTGCTGTCCACGGGGCTTTGTTTACTCCACCGTTGTTTGAGAAGATTTGGACAGAAGTAGGAAGACTTTTAGGTCTTCAAATTGGCAGTGATCTTGAAGACCCATAGAAGATCAATCACCAAGGGAACCCAAAACTTTTCCATGATCAAAGTAAAAATTCTGTTTTTATGGCTGCCTGTGTCTTATTCTCTATAAATTTTATAATCATGAGAAGGCTCAAAGTATGGGCATAATTTCCATACATCAAAATGTCTCACACCATCCTTACAGCCAGTTGAACACCTGTAGCAAATACAAGGAAATAAATACCTTAGCAAGCAAAAATTCTCTGGTTCTTCAAGGGAGAGAAGGAGAAAGAGAGAATAAGGTGGGGGTGGGGGTAGGGGGAGATGAAGAATAAGCCAGCGAGAATAGAACTGTGATGTGTGATATCCACAGTTGTGTATACTGGGCTCACATAGGACTAGTATCTCTGCATGTGTCAGAAATACACTTACTTCAGCAATTTTATCCCTGCCCAAGGTGATCAGCCTTATTTCCGAGAAATGCTTTTTCTCTTACATTGACCGGAAGCTCTTTAGAAATGTCAGCACAAGAAGGAGTTTGAATTTGTGGCTGTTTAGCACGCCTGGCTTCTCTCACCTGTGTCCAGAATGTGATGAAGTCCATTGATAGATGCAGTCCCTGTACCTGGGTCTCTTCTACCTTCGCTCTCCTCCTTCCTCCTACTCCGTTCTACCTTCAATTGATTTTGCCTCCTAGCAAAGAGTTAAAGGTTATTACTCAGGGATTTAAGTCCGGGCACGCTGGCAGACATGTACCAAGGCAACGGCAGCTACAAATAGTGTATGGTACAAGCTTTCAGGGTAAACATCAATTTCTCCAATTTGCTATAGCCTGAGAATCTTATAAGCCTAGCGAATGAATTGTGAGTGTGGGTTTTGTGCTGGATGGATGGAGCAGGGATTGTTTCTCTAAAGTGCTACTAATGTACACTGAATCTTCAGTTTAAATACTGTGAAGGTGTAAAAAGTCACAGTTGCTTCTCTGGCGGCTCTCTTCCTTCCCTGTGCCGGTTTCAATCTTCCTAGTCTGATAGAAAGACTGTCCTGCAATCTCTCACCTGGATTCGGCTTCATAGAGAAGGGAAGGCTGCCAGGGCTTCTCCCCAAACACCAGGGAAAAGGGATTCCTCATCTCTCTGTTTATGGGAACCCTATCTCCATCTTCAAGTCCATTACCTAGCCTTCAACTTAAACTATTATGGAATGCACATTATCTGTGAGTTGTGTCCTGTATTTGGAAATGTGTTTCCATGTTGAGCACCTCATGCAGATTATCTTATTTAATATGAATACTTGTATGTGATAGGTACAATTCATGCCTTCACTGGAAAGATGAAAAAAAAAATACAGCTGAGGTGAAATGACTTTTCCCAATTACACAACTAGTAAGTGCTAGACCTTGGATCCAAACTCAGACAGCCTGAATCTATTCAGAACTTTCATTCACTACACTGGGCATCTCTTCAAAGCCCTTTGTGGTTTATCACTGAACCTACCTTCCTGAGAGCTGGGGGTTACCCATGTGTCTTTGTTTCCCCTACAGCGTGCCTAGAACATTCACTCAAGTCTTTGTTAAAATTTCCAGAGTTTTGTGGTTAGAATCTGGAATGTCCCCCAAGGTCTCAGGTGTTGAAGGCTGGGTCCCAATGCACCAGTGTTCAGAGGCGGGGCTTTCGGGAAGTGATTCCATTTTCCTATGTTACTCCATTGACATCTGAATAGATTTCTAGGAAGTAGTGGGGACTGTAGGCAGTAGGGCAAAAGAGGAGGAAGCAGGTCACTGGGGGTATTTCTTATCTCCAGTCCCTCCTCTGCCTTCCTGATGCCATGAGTCTCTGCTCACCACAAGGCCATAGCAATGAAACCAGCTGACCGTGGACTGAAATCTCTGAAGCCAAGAGCCAAAATAAATCTTTCCTCCTTTAAGTTATTTTCCCACGGGTATGTGTCACAGCAATGAAAAGCTGACTAACATAAAGGGCTAAATCAATCCTAGGAAAAACCAGAGTAACAACCCAAACCTAAAACCAGTAGGCATAGAAATATGATTCTCCCCAAAGGAGACCCAGCTTTCTCTTCCCGATAATGTTAAAAGACTGGAATATGATCATTTAGTTTCAGGACAACCTTAAATAAAAGTTTCATTAATCAGAATGGGTATTTCTATAATAATGAGCCCTCAGTTGAATTTTAGAACCCTCTTTATGCTTTGTTAGTAACAAAGCTGTTATAAAAATAATTTGATAAGACAGTCCATTGCAATAGTGGGACTTAACTATGTAAAAGGGTGCCTTAGCTGGTGTCTGAGCATACCCAACTTATGTAATGCTAACATAATGGATTATGCATATTGTATTGGGTTAAAAATGAAACCCAGTGAAGTATTACAGCAATTTAAAAAATATATATCGGGGCTTGTTCAGCACAGATATTTAAAATTTAAACCTGTTTAAATATTCAACTGAAACTAAAATAAAATTCTGAAAAATGGAATTCAATAGAAAGGCTCCATTAAGAGTAAAAATGCTTCTCCAAATCCATTTGGTTCTAATAGAAACCCATTGAGTGAGCTTTTCATTGTTGCAGCACCAGCCAAGGGAAAAATTATACATACATTTGGGCAGGAGGAAATCAGTTGGACTTCTTGTGGCATGAGCTCCCCTTAGAAAAGGAAGAGCAAAGGAAAACCTCACACCAACACCCAGATCAGGCCAAGGTTTGTTTAAAATGGTCAGGAGTTCCTTCCTAAACAGCATCTTTCCATGTGTTCACCTTCCACATAAGATGTGATTCTAAAAAAAAAAAAAAAAATTGGCACCTTTTGCTGCAATATCAGAATACTGACCAATTTGCCTTCTGAGCTCCAAGCTTTATTTCGCTGATAAACATCCTGCAGGATGTTTTTATTCAATTAATTGAAATGATCCCTTGCACAGAAATGCACCGTTCATCAAGGTCTACTTGAATATCAGGCTTGGGCCGAACACCAGCATTTTTGTTACTCACTTCTCCAGACAGCAAATGCATGAGGATTCTGAAACATAATTAAAACAATCAGCAAGAATTAGGCAGCTTGGTGACTGCACTCAAATAGCAAACCCAGAGAAGGAAACGGAAATGCCCAGGCAGGCGAACGGCAGCATTGCAGAGACAGAGAGATTGCTGTTAGGAGACATAAAATGGAGGGTATTATGAAAAGAAATATAGGGTAATATAAACAGAGTCTCTAATCCTGAGGACTGTAAATCCCTTTTCCTTAATTGGTTTAGAAACTATGGTCTGTAATGTGAGATGGAGGGCTCTGGCTGCCTTTCTTCTTTGCTGCCGGAATCGCATTAAATGAAAAACAATAGCGGGGCTGACAGCTCCCTTTCTGTGGGGGCACTTAGCTCTAATCTGCTATTGAGACTAATACAATTACACGGGATTAGAGCTGCCAATGATGCCCAGATTGGGGGATGCTAGGTGGCGGGGCGCTGGGCTCTTTCAGAGCATCGTATGGGGGCTTTAGAGGGACAGTGGATTAGGTCCATGGTATTCCTAATTAGCCCCAAATTAAGGGAGATAACCATGATTTTGGAATTAACCCAGGATCTTGATTATGAATTCCAATCCAAACAAAATTCTACTTTGAGGTGTTTTTTTTTTTCATTGACGCTTCACACTATTTTGCTTACTTTTAATAATTTTTAGTTGAACTTAGAGATTTCCCTATGAGAGAATACCTTTCCACTTGTTCTCAGTGGAAATCGAGCTTTGCTTCAGTTTTTCAAGACAGAGGGAGAAGCCACATTTATGAATTTAGGAATCACAACTGGCTAGAAGGTCATTTCCTTGTCTTCAGTGGCATTTTTCTGTCTGGGTTTTTACAAAATGCTTTTGGAAATCCATCAGTGCTGGTGGCATAACCACAACCAGTGAGCTAATTCAGGGTTTTCATGAGTATCCTTGGGAAATTGACAATAATCTCATGCTCATTACCTGAGCTGTGATATTTATCAGGAGAATACATGAGCAGGCAGGGCACAGTGCTTTGAAAAAAAAAATAGCAATTTTTTTTTCTTACAGCATTGCCAGTTTCCTCCTATGAGCCTTAAAACTTATCTCTAACAAGTACCATCTACTATCAATTTCTGTGTTTCACCATCATTTGATAAGTATTTCCAATGATTCTCATTCTTACTTTCAAGTTAAATAGCAAATATGTCATGCTTATCACATTCCCAGCATAAGATAGCAATACTTTTAAAATTTAATTCCTAAGTTGTTAGTCCTAAATAAATGCCCCTAGTGAATAGTATAACTATTAATCCTTGTACTTTTTCTGTTGAAATGATGACAGAATTCTGAAGATTTCAATAATGTCCAATAATAAGCACACACTCTCCACAATTATCCATTCTGATACTGGAGTATCTTTCTGATGGTCCAGCTATGACAAAGTACCTCTGCCCTAAAAGTCCATCTACTCTTTGGCTTATGATATTTTTTTTCAAAAATCCTTGCTTTAAAGCAAATGTGACAACTTGGGATGTTAATTAAATATGACGATTTGCCTCTGAATACAAGGCCCAAATGGGATGAGATGCTGGTGATTTCAATCCAGGTATGGGAAGTAGAGAAGGAAAGAAAAAAAAAAGTGGACACAACTAGATAAAGACAGATGTTAAGATTTACATATTACCCACTTCTGAAAGAGCAAAAGCTCCTTTTTGGTATGCTATTTTTTTTTCCTCTTGATGTTTGTTTTCTCATTTGTTTTTAAGCTTGTTCTTTACTCACACTAGCTAGAATCTCCTCTTCTGTCCTGGAGTGAGCAGGACTTCATTCTGGAAAGCCAACCTTCCCTGGCTTTCCTCCACTGGCCTCTCCTGGTTAGCAGAGGGCTGTAGCAACTGAGGCCAAGTTCTCTGCATTCAGGCCTACTATGCTCCATGACAACCCCAGGAGATGTGAAAGAATGAAATCTTTACTTTATTGTTGAAGAGCCTACGGCTAAGAAAGAGGAAGCAAAGATCAGGACCTGAATCCAGGTGTTTCTCACTCTGCTCTATACACTATTCCAAGCAGTTTCCTTCTACCTCCACCACCAACACCACCACGGTGACACCACTTAGCTCAGCTATTCACTTAAGTGTATTGTTCACATCTGTGCACCATAACAACCCTGCAAGGCAGGCAGGTATTTTAAATACTCACTGTGCAGGAGAGAAAACTTGGTTTCATTGAACTTCAGTAGCTTGCTAAATACCACTCCTTCAGAAGAGTCAAACTTGGGATTCTACCCCAAGACTGGCTGGGCTGGGTTCAGGGACCTTCATCCTGTGAGGCTGCACTAGACCCCACAACCAGAGGGTCAGATGTCACCATCTTGAAATCCTTAATTTTTGAATAAGATATTCTGCATTTTCATTTTGCACTGGGCTCCACAAATTTCATATCTGGTCCAGGTGCTTGGTTTAAAGCTGGACAAATATAACAGCTATCTACATCAAATTCCAGAACCTTTTTTTTTTTTTTTTTTTTTGGACATTTTGAGAAAGTAGAGCATTTTCTACTGGAATGATAAGCCTGCTGCTTCTGGGGGGCCATGATGCACAGAATCTCTCTGAGAATAAATCTCAAGGAAAACAAAGTTGAGAAAAAGATACAGATAGTGTCTTGCTTAAATCATGTGAGTATAATTCATTTTTTATCTTCTTCTTTTTGTTGTTGTTGTTGTTGTTGTTACCCAAACCAGTTTGGGCTGGCTTTTGTGTGTCCCATGAAGTCTCTAGACCAGATAATGAGACAGGGTTTAGGGTGTGGGATGTTTATTAAGTATTCACATCTGTGAAGGGCAGCGAGAGGATCAGGACTTCCCCGGGAGGAAGCAAACTTCTCCCTTGTGCAGGGAGGCCTGATAAGAACTCAGCCAACTTGGCAGGTGCTCTGGACCGAGTAGTGCCTTTCTGAGGTACCGTGTGTTGGGGCCAGGATGGCTGAGGTTTTAACATTGCTTTGCTAGGTTTCCAGAAGGGGCTGCCTCTGGAAGGGCCTCTGCAGAGGCAGCTCTGCAGCAGAGGCAGAGCAGGGAGAGGCTGACAGTTACATGTCTCGAGCTGCCCTCATTCTCCTCAGCTGGGCAACAAGTCCTTTGTAAAGGTCTAAAAGCAGCACTTCTTGAGTTTTTCAGAAATCATAACCCAAGTCAAAAGCTTGTATGCACTTTTTTTTTTTTTTAAAGAGTTCAATGGTGGAGAGGTGGAAATGGGGAGTGGTGAGGTAAGAGAATGCTAGCCAGTAGGAAGGTGTGGTATATGTGGTATACAGCTGGCCTCTACTTGGTGCCCAAAGAGTATGAAGCTCTATCTCAGATTGTGTTCTGGAACAGTCTGTCCTGGGGAAGGAAGGAAAAGGGCATCCACAGATGGACTTCTTTGAACAGAAGTTAGGAGGCACGTAGGGTGCTGGGAATACCGAAAGGTAACATTTAAATTCTCCTGTCCTCAAGTTTGTCTAGTTAGGAAGAGGGAACACATAACAGAAATAAAGACAAAATAGATTCTGGAGGGCAATCTGGTGTCAAAATAATGGTGTGGATAATATGTGCGATCGCACCTCTGAGTACCAACAGGTGCTGCAGACTGGAGTAAACAGGTGGTGTTTACTTAGATGTTGAAACCAGAGCTGGACCCTAAAGTCAGGGCTTTTATTTATAATTTAAGGAAAAGGAGCAGGACGTGGGAAGTCAGAATGAAAATGCACACACAAAAATGATTATATACATATAGAGAGAGCAGCTAATGGAGGTAAGGGTTGAAGGTCTATAGTAGGATCAAGAAAGAAATGGAAATACCAAGAAGAAGAAAATGGAGAAAAAGGAGAAAAAAAAAAGGGCCAGGAGCTGGTGAAGACTGATACTATGAAATGTACAAAGCCAAGATTACTTTAGCACTGTAAGTTTAAATTTCAGAAAGATGTCTTTTTGCTCATTCTCAAGTTTCAGTGGTGTTGAACTGCCACATGCAGATTCAACGTCTATACATTTTTTTTATGCAACTTTTTGCAGTGTAGATTTTCAAAGTGTTAAAATTCAGTGTCGTTAGCAATGACATATATCTCTTCCTCTAAATATAAACCCCTCATTAAACAATTAAAACTCTCTAATTTGCTGAGAGTCTCTTACGTGGCTTATACAGTCAGTCTCACCAGCTGCTGGACAAGTAATTGAGATATTCCAATCATCTCTTAATTTGTTACTTTGCGTGCGTTCGTATTTCATGTGTGTTCAAATGCAGTAATTACATTGAATAAAACATATAAAAATAGGTTCCTTAAAGTTGTCACTTATTCAGGAAATGAGGAGTTTATAAATTCCAGATCTGGCCCACTGGTCTCTACCAGAAATTGTATACCTGTGGGTTGAAAAGTCCCATCTTTTTTTCCAGAAGTCAAAGTACACAGAAAAGTTTAAGGCAAAAAGGAGATAATGTTCAGAATGAATTATTCTTCTTTCTGGTACTCACTGTGAGTGCGTATATATCTTTATTCTGATGGTCCTGCTGTATGGCTAGTTTGTGCAGAAATCTTGGTGCATTGACAGATGGTTTTGTGAAACTATAAATATAGGAGTGATTTAAGGACCTGTCAAACATACACAGTGGTTGGGTGAATGTAAGGTTAAATTCAGGGATCCTAAGACTATTTTTCAAAAAAATTGTAAGACTTGTTTTCTTTGTTGTCGAAGAAACAGATGTGAAGCCCCTCTACTGTGCAATAGTCACACTGTAGAGTGCAGTTCAGGCTGCCACCTCATTCACTGATATAACCAGCAACTGGTTATTTGTTTATTTAAAATTTTTTTGTTATCATGCGTTTGACATTTTTCAAGGGAACAAAGAAATGGCCTCTCTACTGCCAGGCATCAGGGAAAGGCACTCCCTTCCTATTCTGTCAAAGCCCCAGAGACCTTCCCCTATATAGAACTGTCCAATCCCAAGTTTCAAGAATCCCCCTCCCCATATGTCATCACAGGCTGTGTCCTTGCTTTGC